GAGAGATAGGCCCCACGCCAGGTAACAAGTCGATTGTAAATTCAATTTCCTTCTCTGACGAAAATTCGAAATTTCATCCTTATCACAGTCAAATCGAATGCTTCATTATTAATTCAAGCTCTTTCTGCCTAGTTGCAGTCCAAGTCTGCTGTAGTGCAGCCAAAATCGCTACAACATGATCCGGTGGTGGATCATGATTATTAAATGTTCTACGAGTTCTCCTTGGAGGAACCATATCTCTGCATATATTACACTAAGGAATGAGTTAGCTACGCTCACACTCAGTGATCACACATGCATTATACAGCACTGCAAGAAAGCACTCAAGAACTTCCAACTTCAAATATATTATGCTATATATCATGTAACTCCCTAGAGCAACTGCTCTGATACCATAAATGTAACATCCCCGTCTCGAGCCGGTTTAATTAACATACATATGATACAAACAGAAACAGCGGAAGACTTAACTTACGAAAATACGAACTAACTTTTTCTTTTTCTTTAATCCTTTTTCACATGACATATCACATTGCATACTTCTTCTAATTTAATTCTTATTTTACGGAGACGAAAATCGGACAGAGTAACCTCTGTAAATCGGACAACTGGGGATTTTCCAATCCCACACTCAAGAGTTCCTGATAGACAGTTTAAACAATACATATTTCCAGAAGTACCAGTCATGCAAATATACTCAGATACCCATCTATGGGCGCATGCTGAACTTGGCTCCGTGCCACAAGTCTAATAGCATGCAATCCAATACATAACATAACTGAATACTACATAGTCATATCATCATGCCTGAATACATAAATGTACAAGTATCGAATATGAACACTCTGCAACAATACATCTTTTCCAAAAATACGTCTAAAACAAATAGTAGCATCCGACCACCCAGAACTCCACATCCTCATACTAGTACCTCTAGCCACGGTTAGTGTCCTTGTCCCATGAGGCTCTTCAATTAACTGTGTTCCTGAAATCATATCCCCAAACGGGGTTAGAGACGAATCTCTAGTAAACTCCAGGTTTATGGAAAACCCTCCATACCCTGGGCTCACTTCCTGCATGACAGTCAGATACATAATATACAAAACATCATATAAGCAATTATCATAACTGAACAAAGCATATATACATATCTTATCAAAGACAAACGCAGTCATTCCCAAGGGATGACCCCAAGCGAAAATCAACACACGTAACAAATATCTTTTACAAAAATCATCACAATACTCACATCAGAACAAAACGTGTTATATCAAAGATGTACGCAATCGTTCCCAAGGGATGACCCCAAGCGGAAATCAACGTACGTAACAAATATCATTTACAAAATCATCATACATATCCCATAAAACATGTCATATAATCAAATATCATAACTAAACAAAACATATACACATATCTTATCAGAAACGTACGCAGATATTCCCAAGGAAGGACCCCAAGCGGAAATCAACGCACGTGTTCCCAATGGAGGACCCCAAGCGGAACCAGAACATATCAGAGGCGTACGCAGTCATTCCCAAGGGAGGACCCCAAAGCGGAACCAGAACATATCAGAGGCGTACGCAGTCATTCCCAAGGGAGGACCCCAAGCGGAAATCAACGCACGTGTTCCCGAGGGAGGACCCCAAAGCGGAACCAGAACATATCAGAGGCGTACGCAGTCATTCCCAAGGGAGGACCCCAAGCGGAAATCAACGCACGTGTTCCCGAGGGAGGACCCCAAAGCGGAACCAGAACATATCAGAGGTGTACACCATCAGTCCCGAGGGAGGACCCCAAAGCGAACATCCGGGTACTATACAATCAATGGCCAGATATTGTTACAGAAATCATATTACAGAAGTCATATCATAACAAAACATATCATATTAACACATATCAAAGTAAATACATCAAAACAAAACATATCATATTATCATATAGCTCTATATGAATGCATCTATATCATATATCTCATACATATCATACAACCTGACCACAGTCCGTACACTATGGCGGAACACAAAGTAGGAGCGAACCCCATAAACATAGAGCTTACCTCTTTGAGCTTTACAATCTGCTTACTTGAAGAACAAGCTACTTATCATACTCCACGAGAATCCAAACGTTCACAGTCCCTAGGTACACCTAGAGAAGGAATTCAACATAAAACTCAATAAAATGATATAATGCCATGTAAATATACAAGACACACACTTTATTGTTTATTTTCTTTTTACTTAATCATATTAAGTCATGAGTGGGTGGTTCTTTGTTCAACAAATCCCCACAAAATTCCATATATTCACTTAGTCTTAGGATAGTCCCAAAAGGCCTTTAGAACACTCATTACTCCTCTTAGCACCTAAAAGTCTATTTTTCCCAATTTAAGGCCAAATGCCCATTACAAAGGAGTTATAAGATTTCTCTTTGTCTAGTGCCTAAACCCAAGCTTAGCCACCTATATAAATTATTTTACGCATATAAGTGTCCTCACTTTGCGAAACAATATCTCCGAACATATACCTCATTTGAAAATGGCCAAAACTCATTTTAAGGCCATACAAAGGAGCTACCTTATTTTCTTTTTTATTTCACCAAAGCGAAGGTCCATACACCTTAGAATATCATTCCACGCATAAAAGTATGCTCGCTTTGTAAAACAGTAACTCATAGCACATACTTCCTTTGAAAATGGCTAAGAGGCACATAAAGGAAATCATGCCAACTTCATGATTTCAATGCTTTACTCCATCAAATTCAAGCTTATCACACACCTCTAATCCAAGATTCGTTAATTGATATATACGACACTGTTCATCTCTACAATACTATTCATGTATGCGTCACTATTCACGTATACGACACTATTCAAAAATACGGTATTTTTAATTTTCCAAAATACATTTTCACCGTTAAAATTCTCATCTAAACACTTTTCTCAACATGAGCTAAACCTGAATTAAGCTCTAACATGCTCAATCAATCCAAATTTTTAAAATGAAAACCTATATTCAATCTTTCTCAAAACTCAAAGAAAACAAAGATTTCTTAACATGAACTTACCTAGAATGAAGGGAGAAGCTTGCTTCAAGCTCCATCAAAACCCATATTTTCCATGAAATTCGAATTCTTTGGGGGAGAAGATCTCTCTCTACAGTGAACCCCACTCAGAAATACTGGTACCAATAGATTCCTCTCGAAATTTCTCACAGGTTTGGCTTTGGAACAGAGTGATTTGGAGGTCTCTAGCTCAAGTTATGAATTTTGGAAGAATTTTAATCAAAATCTCCATTTTCATTTTCTTTCCTTCGTTCTCTCTGTCTCGCGTCCGTAAAGAGAAGGGAACAGTGACTCCCTTGAGTCACTTATATAAATTCATTATACTAGCGGGTATAAGCTCATCTATCTACACACCTCCATTCATTACCAAACTTTAACCAATAGACTAGAATATTTTTCTAGTCACGTTTCTATTTTTACTTTCACTTTTAGATAACTTTATTTATCCGCATTTTTTACCTCTTAACTGTCATTTTAACTCATTTTTCACCAAAAGTGACTTTATTTCTTTTTCTTTGTAATTATCCTTCAATATTAAATCCATAATAAATGTGAGGGTCATTATAATGATCCCCGAAAATATGATGGGAAGATGAATTTTCTGAGAATATTATCAAAAAGATGTTTGATAAACTAAAATATTCCTGAGAATATTGGATTAATTTTGTTAATGTTATGTTTAATTGTATTAAATTTTCCCTTATCATAAAAATCTTAAAATACCACTCCCTGAATGGTATTTTCAAAAAAAAAAAAATTACACACAAAATAAAATCTCAAAAAAAATTAAATTCCCAACAAATTTTTAAAAAACTTGTACAAAACATAAATAAATATGATTACCACTCAGTTTTTCAAAAATCCTAAAAAATATCTCGTAACAAACGTCAAGACAATAATTGGATTGGGACTTCGGGTTCAGTTGGAATTGCACCACAGCAGAAGCCCTCACTAGTTACTATAGTCTGTCAATTAGAAAATCCGAGGCCACCACCTCTAACAATAGATATAATAAGGTCATTGAAATTTACAGAAGCTTAATCGAAGCCCGATAGGAGGGGTAAAACAACACTACAAGCTAATTTTCTTATGCCATGTGTGAGGACAGCAAGCAAAGACTTGGATCGGAAGCTTGTAACATACTCGGTTTGTAGCCTTAAAAGCCAATTTACCAACATAGGCTAAACACATGTTGACTTTGTTTCACTGAATGCTGCAAAGCCCTTATGCTCTTTAAAGTGACCTTAACATATACCCAATATCAAATATGAAGCGGGTGGATAGTAATTGGTGGATAGTAATTACTATCCATCCCCCAAAATTGGCATTTTAAAAAAGAGAACATCTTTACATATTCTTGTCAATTTCTCGTCTATAAAATTTGGGGGACTAACGAAAACAATTAAAAACTAAGACAAACACAAAGCTAGCAGACAAAGTCACTTGAATCAAAATACCAACCACCGCACCCATTCAGTTGTTAGCATTTAGTGACAAGAAGTCAACAAAAACTTCTCCTTCATGCGAGAGATGAGCTTGAACTTCTCCTCGGCTTCAACCTGCTGTTGAATGTCAGTTTTGGATGCACGATCTGGATGAAACTTTAACAAGGCCCGTTTATATGCCGCGTGCACCTGAAATGAACATCAACAGAAACAAAACATTAGCATGAAACACGGAACCGAAGGCTCTGGATAGATCAGAACCACAACTAGCTGACAAATCAATTTTAGAATTAAAAATGAACTCAATCTTGAGAAGGGAAGGACATCTGATGTTAAAGATGTTGAGGAATTTGGGATCTCAAATATAACTACTTAAAAGTAAATGTGGAAAAATGAAGCTTAAAATATAAATGAAATTCCAAGTTGCTGGTTCTTTACTCCGCTCTATGTTTCTATTAGGAATTGTTTCTTTTTCTTTAAGGCGGGCGGGCTAGTAAGCATCAGAGTTTACAATACCATCATCACTCATTCACCTCCCCCTCCCCTTTCTCAATTTGCATTGAGCTCTTAAAATCTTTTTTAGAGAGGCCTAAAGTAGTTTCTTTAATGGATAAAGATGTTAAATACAGGACCTTAATTCAAAACATGAAAGATTAGGGAATGGAACAGTTGTGTCATGAACCAGCTATTCCAAACACTTAAACTATTGGTGAAGGCACATCAATAGTTTTAGGGCTTTATTAATCTCATGTTACATAAGACACCTTCTCTCCTACCATAGATACAATTATGTGGTGGGGCCCACTCACTAATAAAAAAGAGAGAGAGAGAGAGCAACACGAAAATCAATGGATCTGTAAGAAAGAGAACTACTCTCCAACAACATGAGAGTAATTTTTCCCATAGTTTTATATCTAATATGCCCCCTCATGCAAAAGTCATTTGGGCTCGAGACATAGACAATGTATAAGCCCACCCTACCTTATACTAAAATTTAACTTTTTATTTAGAAGAATGAGGACAACTCTAGACTATACGGTCATAGATAGCAGTGTAAATGAGTTGAGCTATTCGAACTCGAACCATTAAATGCTCAATCAAGCTTGCTTAGTTTACTAAACATACAAGCTCAAGCTTAACTATAGGCTCGATTATATAAATGGGCCAAGCTCAAGCTTCATATTTTAAGCAAGTCAAGCCCAAACTTCAAATTACTCAATTACCCAAACTTCAAATTTTACTCATTTAAATAAATGAGTCAAGCTTGAGCATCATCTTTTTCCTTTCGCAAGCCAAGCTTGAGCTTCAAGTGCTCATCTTTTCTCGACTTGTTTACATTACTAGTTATAGACACTCTCATACATGTTATGAACCAACAATCACGAAATCTTAAACTATTGTGTGACAAACATTAATGGTTTTATATATAACAAGTTGTGATCAAAGGATTTTTGTACAAAAGTGGTCAAAGGACCCCTGTTTAGTTGTAATAGCCTCCAAAGCATTGGCAAAGGTAATGGATGCAATCATGGAACTTGCCAAAAGGTTAGAATTTTTGTACAACTATTGTCAAAGGAGTATTAGCTGATTAGTTTTTCATAGAAATTTTTATTAGCTATCAAAATCTTAAAATCTACCGAGAGGTTTAAGTAAGTACATCTTTTTTTTTGGTAAACAAAGTAAGTACATCTTAAATAATGTATAAATATACTAACTAATTAAAAAATTGTAGCATAGCAGTCAAACAAATGCAGAATCTAAGTGGAAAATAATAGATAAACACAACTTGCCTCATTGGGCAACGGGATTAAACTTCCTCCCACAGGTATTCCTAAGCCACGAAGCAGTGATGTCATATCATAGCATTGCCTCTCCAATTCATTAAGCCCCTTCTGTATTTCGACCCGCAGTTGCTCTTTCATGTTCATAAATTCTTCATCCTGAATTTTTTATTTGCCAGATTGACAGAAATAATCAGTTACTACAAACTTTCAAATCATGTCCACACTAAGCATGAAAGCAGGCATTCAAATGGCCAAACATAATAAAAAGAAAAGAAAATTCTATAATGTAAACGAATAATAATAGATATACATGAAGGACAATTAGCATAAGAAACACTTTTAGTGTAAGTTAAAGACATAATTGCAACCTTCTTTTGTGTCTCTCTCACTTCTTCAATGCGTTTTTTTTGCCTTCTTTGCATGTCCAGTAAGCGCTCATTTTCAGCCCTTCTTCTTTTGCGTAATCTCTGTGCTTCCTCTGCCTGTAAAAGCACAAGTATGCATAATCTCAGTTCAAGGAGTAAATTTAACGACATCATAACAGTAAGTTGCCCAAAAAAAGAAGCAGCATGTATAAAACCAAGAATAAAGTAATTAGGCGAGCAACATCCAATGTTTAGAAAGCACTTTTGACTAAGAAATTGAACTCCATAGGCACTGGTAGACGTGACACAAATTCATGGCTGATAATGACAATATACAAGAAACCATAACATACAAGAATGATGCAGGTTGTTTAACAGCACTGCCAGTAATTATCCAAAGTCCAAACACTATAAAGGCTTAAAATGAAAAGATAGATCTAAACAATAAAACAGACATCTATAAGGGAATTGGCATTTACACACCAATTGGCCCCTCTTCAACTTGCAAGACCACTGAACACGTTTGAAGAGCCAAGACAGTCAAGGGCATAAATATTTAAATAGTGGCATGAATGTATCACCTGAATTTGCAATTGCTTCTGCCTGGATGCCCATTCTGCTTCTATGACTTGTCTATATTCATCAGTATCCTTAAGCTTTTCTCTTTTGTTAATTATATCTCTCTCATTTGAAGCAGTAAGATTACCATCTTGAGCATGTAACACAAGCCTATCACAATTGACATGTCTTTCATCAAAAGAGCTACAGTTAAAATTCACTTCAGCTAAATTGTCATCTTTGCTCATAAATGCAGATCCATTGTTGTCAACTTGCCTTTCACGTACTTCTTGGCTCATGCCAATACATTCAGACTCTTTACCATCCAATTCTTCACCTCTTGTCCTTTCTCCATGCTCAATATCACAACCTTGACGCAAAGATTGCATTTCCTCTATGGATTCAGACCCAGGAGATTTGAAACTGTCCTGCCTAACTTGCTGATCAGAATCCTTGAAAGAATTTTCTGTCCCAAGATTAAAATTAATGTCATCCACTTGACCATCACCCTTAACAGAGAAGGAAGATTGATTCTCCTTGACAAATTCACCATTGCTGGGACCAGAATATACAGGGTTTCCTGCATGCTGTTCGTTCATATTTTCTACTTCGATATCAGCGTAAATATTGCTATGGACACCAGAAGAACTGGCATGTTCATCATAACAAGATTGATCATTAAACACATGGTGCTTTCTCTCAAACAAAACCTTTTCCCACTGTTCACAATCCATGTGTTCACAATCAGAACAATCACTCTCCGGTGACTCACTTTCAGACCCATCTAAACCATATCGATTTCTGCCAGTATCCTTTGTAGAATCCTTTTCATTGACATGACCATCATCTACATCTACGTGTACAGAATTTTGCATACAGCTTGGGGCAGGAGATAACTTTATGCTTGAGGAGGCATCGCTGTCCAAATCCTCAACTCCTTCAGAAATGATTCCATGATGGGTTGCAGCATCACTTTCATCATCGGCGTCATCATCATCGTCATCAATGCTGATAACCCTCTGAGGCGTATATGTTCTGTCTCTACTTGGCACACTGGACCCATGAAATTGTGGCCCAAACTCAGACAAATCTATGATTATCATATCATCACCCTGATAACTGTCTACGTCAATGAAAACAGTATTTTTTAAATTCCCTTTCCCCTGAACAGTTTTTTTTGAGTCTGGGGTTGAAAGTTCTCTCTTAAGACACGTTTTCCCATCACTCACTACACCAGCAAAGCAGGAATCACGCGGATATAATAATTCTGCAAAAAATCTTCACCATCAAAGACAACAAAAAGAGAAGCATATAAATATTTGTCCAATCAAAAACTACTATAAAGACATTAAAGGAATCACCATACATTATGCATCTGTATAAGCTCCAATTATCCCAAAATAGCATTTTATTCGCATTTATTATAATATGCTGCAAAAGCCCCAAAAATAAAAAGAAAACCCATCGCCTCCACAACTATGACGCAGATAAAAATTCAAACATTCATGTGTTCACTGGCGGACCCAGCCAGGGCAAATGTCCGCGAGTGGGCACATAAAATTTTGGATTTTAATTTTTTTTTTTTTTTTTTAGCTTGGTAGGTATTTATTTGTATGTTTACTCAATATTTATATTAGGAGTAAATATCCTTTTAAGTTTTTAATAAAAAACATGGTCCCACTTTAGTCTCTTATCAAAAATTAGTCTCGAGGTCCTTACGAAATTCAAAGTGAATCAATTTAGTTAAAATCGTGGTTTCTCACTAATTCAAAAAAGACTTACATTAGTTATTCAAAAAGACTAAGATGAGTCCACTTTAAATTTCATAAGGACCAGGTAACAATTTTTTTTTATAATAGACTAAAGTGGGTACCGAATTTTTTGTTGGAGACCAAAAATGATATTTATTCTTATATTAGTGTGCAACGTACGGAGATGATTAAAACAACATAGCAACGCAAATTGATTAGAGAGAAAACTTATTCTTCCTCCCCTACCATGTACCCATTCTCACGCTCTCTTCATCCTTTGTTTTCTTTCTAGGCAAGGTCTTCAATGTGATTTTGCTTGTCTTCTGTACAAATAGTGTTGACTTTTTTATTCACCACTATAAAATAGGAAGATGATGTATGGATGTACTTAATTATATTTTTATATTTGTTTTGGAGGATTAGTAAGATTGAAGAGAAAAAATGATGGGTCAAAATATTGCTGCAGCTTGTTGTGGAAGCAACTAGGTTATGAGCGGGTTTAAGCGTTAACTTAAACTTTTTTTACAAAAAAAAATTCGGGGGCACCCGCCACTAAATGTACGGATATAAACAAATTTTCCTGGGCCCGCCACTGATGTGTTCCACACTATCCATTACCAAACCCTAATTAAAGAAGAAGAAGCTGAACTTAAAAGCTAAACATGCGTCAAATTGAACAAAACCGACACGAAAAAGAAAAGAAAAAAAGAAACGGAACCCTACCTCCATAAAAAGAAGAGGGATTGATCGGTGGATCAGAACCGAAACTAAATTAGAATTGAGATTTTTGTGTGATAGGGAAGAAGAAGAGAAAACCTAGAAATTTTGCTGGTGAAGGAGGGGTCAATCCTAAACGCAAAGTCGTTGTTGGTTATTTCAAATTTGGATTCGGCTTCTCAACTCAACTAGGTTCCTCGATCTTTCTTTCGTTCTCCCTCACACATGCGCACGCTCCATCTTTTTCAATTTTTATTTTGGACAACAATACGTGAACCGTGTGATGCACCAAAAAATAAAATATAAATTGATGCAATAAGAAGATAACTTGAATTGTGTATTAATATGATACGAAGAGGTCTCTATTTATAGAGACTAAAAAACCTAATATTTGATTGACCTGATGGGCTTGGCCCAATACAACAAATACTAATCTTATATTCTAAGACAAAGCCATTCTTTGGCAACTTCTGACATGTGGCTGCTTCTCTTTCTGACACGTGTTTGCTTTCACACTACACAGTTCAAAAAGTTTTCTTTTTTGATAATTCAGGGAATCTTATATTCTAAGACAAAGCCATTCTTTGGCAACTTCTGACATGTGGCTGCTTCTCTTTCTGACACGTGTTTGCTTTCACACTACACAGTTCAAAAAGTTTTCTTTTTTGATAATTCAGGGAATAAAAAAATTCAAAAAAAAATTATAATCTTCTCTAAAAATTGATGGCCACGATTTGCTATCCAAAAGCAATGGTTTAGATCTGTTCTCATCTTTATTGGGACACAGCTCATAATCCTTTAAAATTTTAATTGTGGAAGGAAAGAGAAATTTCAATGAGGATGTAAATACAAATTTATAAAATTTCAAATATTAACGACACAAATCTTTACAAAAAATGACTATTTATTATTTATTGTGAATAAGAGCCTTTTTTGTGAATAAATATAAAAACCTATTACATGCTAATAGTTATATGTGGCAAACTGCCTACCAAACATTTTTATAATTAAATTAAAATTTCATTCTTCTTCTTTTATTATTAAATTATTAAATCTGATTTTAATTTTTAACAGAGAAAATACAACATTTTAAAAGAAGGAAGGTTTACACGGAAAATGACGAAATGGGAAAGACTCATAATAATGGAAAAGGACAAAAGGTCTTTTATTTAATTAAAAAAAAGTAATAATAATAATTTTCGTTTGTTCATTTATTAATTAATACTCAAAAGTAAAGAAGGATAAAGGATTTGTCAGCTAGCGTGGACTACCGAGAATAGGGGGAGAGATATCTGGGATTCAGGTACAGGATGGTAAGCGGAAAACAGAGGCTAAAGCACAATTTTAAAGTTTTTGGACAAAAGAATTGTCCGGTTAAAGCTGATTGGATAAGTTTTTTCAAAGTAATGCAGTCAAACATGTCGTCTATGCTGACGGGACTAGTCCTGTCACTGATACTGACGGGACTCGTGCCACGTCAGCGCCACGTAGGCAATCCAATTACCGTAAATCTTCGGAAGACCATAACTTGTAACTCGGGTATCCAAATCAGATGATTTTTTTTTATTTCATATAATTTTTCGAGATCTATGCAATGATACTTCATTTGACATATTTTATCTCCCATAAACATAGTTTGAATTTGTAACAATTGTATCACAATCACAAGAGTGTTTATCCATAAGACTATGTTTGTGGGAGATAAAATATATCAAATGAGGTGTCATTGCGTAGATCTTAAAAAGTTATGTGAAATAAAAAAAATCTTCTGATTTGGATACCCGAGTCACAAGTTATGGCCTTCCGAAGCTTTTACGGTAATTGGACTGCCAACGTGGCGCTGACGTGGCACGAGTCCCATCAGTATCAGTGACGAGACTAGTCCCGTCAGCATAGGTGACATGTTTGTCTGCATTACTTTGGAAAAACTTATCCAATGAGGTTTAACCGGACAATTCTTTTGTCCAAAAACTTTAAAATGGTGCTTTAGCTGGAAAACAGATAGACCTAAATCACGCCAGACAGTTACAGTTGTTCTATTTATTATTTTATTTTTATTTTTATTTTTATTTTTATTTTTATTTTTCCTTTTACTTCTTATCTTATCTTATCTTACTATATAGAAAGGAGAACCAAACTTTTGAAAATTAGCTGAGGTGTCACTTCCTCCTTAATTCTCAGCTTTGTGTTCACACTGGAGATAGTTTGAAAAGTCACTATTTTAGAAATATTTTTTATTTCGTAAATAAAAAAATTCTACAAAGGAGGGAGAGTTTCTTTTAAATCATTATAAAATAATTGGTGGCAGTCAGCTGTATTAATGATGTTCTAAATTCAAAATTAAAATTTGAAATGGGTGGGAAGTGTATTAATTGAAATTGAAATCAGTCACCTAACAATTAAGTTCCCTCCATTATTTTAGTGGGAGACAACTGTATTAAATTTCTTCTATTTTTTAGATGCAAATTGTTAACCCTCATTTTAAAAAATATTTAAAGTTTTTTTCTATATTTATCGAAAAATCAAAAGACCCAAAAAACAAAGTTCAGCATTACTTACGCTTTTACACTAGATATAAAATTTAAATTCACAAATGATTAAAATTAACATTGATTTCTTCTCTATCTGGCGTTTGGTACAGGAGAAATTTTTATTTGTTTGGGAATCTTAATTTTCAAACATATAATTTTTACATTCAGTTTACGCAAAAGATCCGAAAATTTAAAATTTAGAAAAATTCAGTTTTCCGAGAATCCACGTACCAAACGACCATAATGTCTTATATCTCGGGAATGAGAGAGAGGAACTAACGTAGGTTACGCCAATGAAGGAAAGGAAGGGCATACATGTCATTAAAAGGAAAAGACAGCTGGTTGGGTTTTAAGGTGTAGGTGAGGGCTAGGCTTTGGGAATTAAAGTGGGAGCAGACAGGCTCATAAGAGAGATGAAGTTGAAACGTCTAGCTAGGTTCTCAGCCTCGGAGGTGACTGAGAATTGTGTGAACTTCGAATAGATGGTGAGTGTTGTAGTGGTTGGAGGATCATATATATTTGAAATTTAAATGAAAAAATTGTTATACCCCGTGTCCAAACTTTTACAATACCAACGCAGCAAGGATTAATGACATTTTAAAAAAAGGGTTAATCGGGTATAATTACAATCTGTTCGAAGTTATAAAAACTGCACGAAACGTCATTTTAAAAAAGGACTTTTACGTTTTACGCTGAAGTCCAATCTGTTGACCCACATGCTAATAGTTACGGGTAAGTGAAACGTCATTTTAAATGGCATTTAAGTAGGTAAAGATAACATATATGAAAATTTAATGTACAGATTTAAGGGAATATGTAAAGACATAAATCAAACAATATTAATAGTTATAAATGTCATTTATTATCATTGCCACCTAAAACGTAATTGTCGTTGTCACTATAAATGGTTTTTCTGATTCTTGAACTAAAATGACACACTGTAATTGCTCAACAGATTCAATGGGATCTTAAATAGCAAAATAAAGGCTAAACAGTTGAAATTAAATAAATATATAATTTACTGTAAAAATCGAATTAAAATAAATTAAAATTTAAGTGAACCATTTGTTGGTAGCAGACAACTCATTCGATGTCCCACTGCTTTCAAATTGAAATTTTCAAATTAATAATAACTCATTATTTTCTGAAATGTGATTATTAAATGTGCATAATTAAATTAAAATTGCATCCTTCTTCTTTTATAATTAAATTCTTAAATGTGA